ACAGTAGCATTCAATAAATATTGAAATGAACATACACATTTTCCTTTTAAACTAAAATATCTTTGAATCATTGTCATTTATACATGTCAAGAATTTTTTTAGATTTGCATTTTTCACTTAACAATTTTATTAATATTCACAGTGAAAACAAAATGCAAAATTTTCAGGATATGATAAAAAAAGATGTCCTGTTGTACCTTCCAGTCACCAAATTCTATACCTTAGAGGTAACTCTTTAATGGTTTGGGGTAGTATCCATTTAGATTTTTTCCTAAGTAGTATATGTAAATATACATACGTATTTTTTAAAGTTTTTTATAAAAATGAAATTATAGTCTACCATAGTTCTCCATTTGCTTTTTTTTTTTTTTTAACATAACAGTACATGAAGTGCATCTTTGTATGTTGGTACTTACAATTACTTGCACTACTGAACTAATTTTTTTTAATTGATGGATAAGATTCTATTCTTTTTTTTTTTTTTTGAGACAGAGTCTCGCTTTGTTGCCCAGGCTAGAGTGAGTGCCGTGGCGTCAACCTAGCTCACAGCAACCTCAAACTCCTGGGCTCGAGTGATCCTTCTGCCTCAGCCTCCCGGGTAGCTGGGACTACAGGCATGCGTGCCACCATGCCCGGCTAATTTTTTTTATATATATCAGTTGGCCAATTAATTTCTTTCTATTTATAGTAGAGACGGGGTCTCGCTCTTGCTCAGGCTGGTTTCGAACTCCTGACCTCGAGCAATCCGCCCACCTCGCCTCCCAGAGTGCTAGGATTACAGGCGTGAGCCACCGTGCCCAGCCTACTCAAATTATTTTTATGTTAAGAGATTTAAGATTTGAAATGGGACACATAAGGTTGATCTAACATATATAAAACTATATTGAATGTCTTATAATATCATTATGCCTATATCAGACCAGCGAAGCATTCTCTTGGTAATCACTTTACTTGAGATTACCAAGGGGAAATTCTAAACAGTTTCCTTGTGAAAAAAATTCTTTTTAAAGATAGGATCTCACTCAGTCACCCAGGCTGGAGTGCAGTGGCATAAGCATAGCTTACTATAGCCTGGAACTCCTAGGTTCAAGTGATCCCCTTGGCTTAGCCTCCTAAAGTAACTGGGACTGCATGCACCTGCCACCATACTTGCCTAATTTTTAAATTTTTTGTAGAAATGAGATCTTGCTATGTTGCCCAGGCTGGTCTGAAACTCCTGGCCTCAAGCAATCCTAGTGTCTTGGCCTTCCTAAGTGCGCTGATTATAGGAGTGAGCCCCACACCTGGTGAGAAAATAGTTTTTAAATAGAGTCCTTACAGAGCAGCCCAGGCTAGATGTTGGAAATGTGCTCTCTAAGAGAAGTTATGTTTAGAATGGGCTTTAGTAGTTGTTTCAAGACCAACCCTGGGACATGTTGAAGGGGAAGTAGATAGGGCTGCCCAAAGGCTGGGCTTCCTGAAATTCCTTAATTTTGGGGGTCTTGCAATTTGATAAGCATAGTCAGATCATACTTAAAAAAATTTGTTTTCACATTAATTTTGATATTATATATCAGATTTTGGTTCCTTCTATGAAAATTATATTGTTGTCAAACTCAGGCAGTAACTTTGCATTTTGTGCTTTTTGAAGTATATTAAGAGTGCAGGTTTTGCAATAGAAATTCAAATTTATGTAATAAAAAATAAGTGTGCTTAAAAAAACTATTTTGTGTTTACTCTGGGATTTACCTGCATACCCATTTTTGGTTTTGGAATGCAACTTTTCTTTTTTATGGCCATGAAGTCTATTAACTTATTTTGAAAAGACATAGAAAACTAGGCTATTTGAAATTACCAACCGCGTGTTTTACAAGGTTTCTCTTCCTTTATTCATCTATGTCACATACATATTTGTAATAATATTAAAGGATTAATGAGATCAAAACCTCTGTAAATATATTTAAGGTTTTGTTTTTAAGGTGGTTAATAGAGTAAAATTTTAAAAATCTTTGTGTAATCCTTTTATTATTATAAGATCAGGTGATAGAGAAGAGTATAAAGTGAGAGATTGTATAATTCCCTTATGCCCTGTTCTCCTGTTTTCTTAGGTAAAAACTGTTAATCACTTGTTCTGTATCCTCTCAGAAGTTTCTCTGTTTATACAAACATTTTTTTAAAAAGACAATGGTATCATACTTTTTAAAAAAAATAAATTGCTTTCTTTTTTTTTTTTTTTTTGAGACAGAGTCTCACTTTGTTGTCCAGGCTAGAGTGAGTGCCGTGGCGTCAGCCTAGCTCACAGCAACCTCAAACTCCTGGGCTCAAGCGATCCTGCTGCCTCAGCCTCCCGAGTAGCTGGGACTACAGGCATGTGCCACCATGCCCGGCTAATTTTTTATATATATATCAGTTGGCCAATTAATTTCTTTCTATTTATAGTAGAGACGGGGTCTCGCTCTTGCTCAGGCTGGTTTTGAACTCCTGACCTTGAGCAATCCGCCCGCCTCGGCCTCCCAAGAGCTAGGATTACAGGCGTGAGCCACAGCGCCCGGCCTTAAATTGCTTTCTTATGGACATAATTCTAGTACACATATGTCTACATCATTCTTTGTGATGGCTAATGTTCTGTTAAATGGATGTACTATAGTTGTTCCCTTGCTTTATTGTTTGCAGTTCTTTTTTTCATTCTAAAAATTTTCCCCTAGCCTTTTATTTTTAAAAAATTCACATCTTCCCTGGTGCGGTGGCTCACACCTGTAATCCTAGCACTCTGGGAGGCCGAGGCAGGAGGACCGCTCAAGGTCAGGAGTTCAAAACCAGCCCGAGCAAGAGTGAGACCCCATCTTTACTAAAAACATAGAAATTAATTGGCCAACTAAAAATATATAGAAAAAATTAGCCGGGCATGGTGGTGCATGCCTGGAGTCCCAGCTACTTGGTGGGGGGGGGAGGGCTGAGGCAGGAGGATTGCTTGAGTCCAGGAGTTTGAGGTTGCTGTGAGCTAGGCTGACGTCATGGCACTCTAACCCGGGCAACAAAGTGAGACTTTGTCTCAAAAAAAAAATTCACATCTTTGGAAAAGTTCAGTAATCACTTATATATGTTTTGCACATTTGCTTTCTTTCTTTTTCTATAAAAATATGTATGTGTGTGTATATAAAAAATGTGTTTTGGAAACATTTGAAAATAAGTTCCTGACATTATGGCATTTCATCCCTAAATACTTCAAAATGAATTTCTTAAAAACAAGGATTTTCTCCTATTAAATCATAGTACCATTATAATTACTAAGAAATTTAATATTGATACAATAATTTTCTTTTTTTTAAGTGGCAGGGTCTCACTGTCGCCCAGGTTGTGCTAGAGTGCACTGGTGCAATTATAGCTCACTACAACCTTTAACTCCTGGACTCAAGTGGGCCTCCTGCTTCAGCCTTCCAAGTAGCTGGGACTATAGGCATGCGTCACCATACCTAGCTAATTTTTAATTTTTTTGTAGAGATGGGGGTCTCACTATGTTGCTCAGGCTGGTCTCCAACTCCTGGCCTCAAGTGATCTTCCTACCTTGGCCTCTCAAAGTGCTGGGATTATAGGCTTGAGCCACCATGCCCAGCAATAATAATGTATATTAAATATTTAATATTGATATAATAATATTTAAATATTTGTGTTTTTTTCTTTTTTAAATTATGAAATAAATTTATCTCATGGCAAAACATTAAACATTTAAACAATGCTAAAGAGGGAATGAGGTAAAAAGTTAAATTTTCATTTCCTATGAGATAATGTCAGTAAGGCTTATTTTTGTATGTATTGGAAACTTTTCTAGTAGCAGCTTTTATGTAAAATTATTTTTTGGCTGGTCTGATGGTAGTAGGTTATCAGAACTTATTAACATTAGTGTCACTAAAGTTGGTATTCAACCCCCCACTGCTAAATTTGACTGGCTTTAAAAAAAAATTTAAAAAAAATTATTTTTCATTTGCTTAGGGTCGAGTGGAGTGCTGGGACCCAAGAACTCGAAATAGAGTTGGCTTGTTAGACTGCGCATTAAGTAGTGTCACAGCAGATTCAGAGTAAGTAGAAATTGTTCATCAACTTTTTCCTCTTTTGGAGTCAGGGTCTTGCTGTGTCTCGTGGACTGGAATGCAGTGGTGCAATCATGGCTCACTGCAACCTCTTGGGCTCAAGCAATCCTGCCTAGGCACCCTACTTATCTGGGACCACAGGTGTGTGCCACCATGCCTGGCTAAGTTCATCAACTTTTAATTTAAGTAAATGTATCAATACTCAATTAAAATAAATTGCTAAAGGATAAAATTCTTAAGGTTTATGTTGAAGTTATACTTTCTGTGATTGTTTTACATAAAAATCTTCTGTAAAAGCTCACTAGTAGGTAAGCCAGGTAGAATTTCTTTCTAAAGTATACTATACAGAGTGCCTTATTTCTTTTTACTTGCCATGGAATTTTGTTAAAACAAATGCACTACAGGAATTTATATTCCAATTTTGTAGGATCTAGTTATAGAACCAGGAGTCCACCACTCCAGTTAACAGGCAAAAAGGTGTGCTTTGAATTCTAAGGTTGAATGAAGCAAGTGTTTTTGATGTTTTTCTTATTTCTGTTTGCCTAACAGAAAAATAATACATAGGTGGGGTATGAAAAACTCTAAAACAAAGTAGAGGCTTGAATTATGTAAAAGTCTACTCTCTTCATCATTCACCAGAGTGGTTATTATTTCACAATTCCATGCATGTCTTTCAGATATTTTTTTATGCTCTTGTTGACACATACGTAGACATACCAGTCTCTTAGTCAAATCCTTGACATGAGATTATTTGCTGCAATCAGTTCTGGAATGTTTTTCTCAAGGCTCTGGATGTTCGTAGTATGGTGATTTTATCAGCATGTACTCATTGCAGTTGGTCATAGTGTTATCACAGGCCAGATGGAGTGTTTAATGGCTAATATACTGTGAACCTTCTTCTGTGAATTATTGCAAAATTTTGCGTGTATTTTACTGAGGGAGAGAGGAATTCATAATCCTTTCTTTCACATAAAACAGTTTATGTGAAGCATCCTTGACCTAGAAAAAAAATTAAGAATCACTGAATTAGAAAGAAATTAAGAATCACTGAATTAGAAAGATGTCTACATTTTTCTCTATGTGGTAAATAAAGAATAAATATTTCTTTTTGTCTTTTAATCATGACATTTAATGTGAAGAGAGGACAGTTTTTCTCCTGATTATCACTGAGTTTTGTTTTGATTTTTTTTTTTTTAGATAGAGTCTTGCTCTGTCACCCAGGCTAGAGTACGGTGGTCTGATCATAACTCACTGTAACTTCAAACTCCTGGGCTTAAGCAATCCTCTTGGCTCAGCCTCCTAAATAGGTAGGACTACAGGCACACACCACCACTCCTGGCTAATGTTTTGAAGTTTTTTTTGTAGAGACAGAGTCTTGCAAAGTTTCCCAGGCTGGGCTCAAACTCTTAGGCTAAAGCAGTTCTCTCGCCTCAGTCTCCCCAGAGTGCTGGGATTATAGATAAGAGCTACTGTGCCTGGCCTAGTATTGAGTTTTATTTATTTTTTGAGACAAAGTCTTACTCTATTGCCTTGGCTAGAGTGCCGTGGCATCAGCCTAGCTCACAGCAACCTCAAACTCCTGGGCTTCAGCAATCCTCCTGCCTCAGCCTCCCGAGTAGCTGGTACTCAGGCATGTGCCACCATGCCTGGCTAATTTTTTCTATATATTTTAGTTGGCCCATTAAATTTCTTTCTATTTTTAGTAGAGATGGGGTCTCGTTCTTGATCAGGCTGATTTCGAACTCCTGACCTTGAGCCATCCTCCCGACTCGGCCTCCCAGTGAGTGCTAGGATTACAGGCATGAGCCACCGTGCCTGGCCCAGTACTGAGTTTTATTAAAGTAATACTAACAAACAACTTCATTAGTCATGGTAGTATATTAAACAATTTTAAGTTGTAAATTTCACTCATTCCACATGTGCTAATAGAATAAGCCAATGGAAAATGCATATCATATATCAGATCAGTATCATATTGGCATGAAAGAAAGCAAATCAGAAGCCTGCTTATTTTTAGAAAGTAGGGAATCAGTTGTAAGTGAAAAATATTTATCCACTCCCTAGGAAACAGAGAGGTTAATTTTCTTCTAATATTACACATTAACTTGTCTTTGAATTAAAATAGACTTGGGTCTAGTACAAATTCTGTCATTAATTTTCTCATTTTAGAGAAGTCATTTAGGAAAAACAGGCTGGCAGGAGTCATTTGCAATATGTCGTAAGGCTATTTCTACTTTAAATTTAGTTACCATAATAGAAGTGACATTGTAGAAAACTTAAGGAAGAAATGTGAAAAATTTCAACTGTGGTCTTTAGAAACTTGGGACTTTTTATTCGATTGTTTGTTACATTGCTAAATTGTCTTACAGAAAACATCAGTTTAAATGTCTACCCACATGCTTAGAGTGTACATTCTCCCACTCTCCTCAGCCCAGGTCATCCATCACAGCATTGTTAATAATATTAAAGTCAGAGCCAAGTGTGATAGCTCACACCTGTGGTTCTAGCTCTTTGGTAGGCTCAGGTGGGAGGATTGTTTGAGCTCAGGAGCTTCAGGTTGCAATGAGCTGTGAACATCCCACTGCACTTCAGCCCAGGCAACAGAGTGAGACCCTGTCTCTAAAAAAACAAACAAATAAATAAATTCATTCATGATGGATAGCTTAAAAAAAGGAAATTAAAAAATAATAGTATTAAAGTGAGCTGGGTATGGTGGCTCACATATGTAATCCCAGCTACTCAGAAGGCTAAGATGGGAGAATCACTTGAGGCTCTGCGATCTAGAATAACCTGGGCAATATAGCAAGACCCCATGTCTAAAAAATAATAATTATATCACAGTGTTAGAGCCTGAGGATATTGTGTAATAAAGCTTAGTAGAAATAGTAGCTAACAGATAGTACTTTACATATATTAACTTATTTAATACAACAATCCCTTGTTGTAGGAACTGTTATTGTATTATATTTTACAGATAAAAACATATCCATGAATGGCATATATACTATTCAGCCTTTAAGAATTATGTTGCAGAAGCATATTTATTATTCGGGAAAGATATTCCAAGCATACCTTCCCTTCGTCCCCTGCCACTTTATCTCTCCTGCAAATATACCTTTAAGTGGAATAGCAAATCATATAGTTGCCTGTAGAGTTTTATCTTATTTTTGTAAGAAAAACAACATGTAAGTAGTTCTAGGAAAAAATTTGGATATATACCAAAATGTTAAACGTAGTTTTTCTTGCTAATTCAGTTTTAGGTGATTTTACTTGTTCACTTTTTTATGCTTAGCTTTATTTTTTTCCCTACATACCTTATAAGCTGTTACTTCTGTTATTTTACAAAGTTCATGATGGTGGGGGCCAATACAATATGAGAAAGAATTAAGTGTAAATATTGAGTAGGGCAGGCAAGCTGTCATTATTTGGAGATAAAATGATTGTCTGCACAAGAAACTCAGTAGAATCAACTGTAAACCTGTAAGAATTAATATAAGAGTTAAATAAATGGGTTACAAAATGTGCAAAAACCAATGGCTTTGGTATTTATCAGCACTATCCAGTTAGAAAGATCCAATGGAAAACAGTTCTCATTTATAACAACAAAAATTGTAAAATACTGAGGGATAAAGTTAATAAGTACATATATAAAGAAAATGACAAAATTTTATTAAGAAACAAAAATTGAATAAGTAGAAAAAATATGAGGGATGTTGGGAAAGTATCCAGCCATGTAACTGTTCTTGTTATGTTAACAATGGATGGATACTTTCCGGACAGCCCTCGTATATCACTGTACTAAAAAATGATTCTAAAGTTCATTTTGAAGATTAAATGACTAAAAATGATGTGAATTTGAGGTCTCAGGGTTCAGAACCGATTCTTCAGGGTAGTTACAGGTTGAGGCTTTAGGTGGCAGAAGAGACCTACCTGACGATGCCAACAGAGGGCTGGGGAACCTCAGACCATAAGGAAACATGAGGCCTTCCTGGTCCTTAAATGGGGCTTTTTGACTGAATCCAAATTTTACATAACAAATCCTTTATTAAAAGGGGTGCAGCGGAGAAAGATGAATCTGGTCTTGCCTCCTTTGGTGCTTAAAAAAGAACAATCTTGAAATCAGAAGGCTGCAGGTTCCTACCCCATGCTGACGCTCTTGGTTGATGGATGAGGTCATATTCTAATGTCATGGCTATACCATTCGTTCTGTCTTTGGTGCTTTGAGAGGTTCTAGGGTCCTCATTTGGAGATTAGTCTTTTATTTTAACTAGAAATAGCTGATTTTAAAATGAAAATGAATATACTCATGTCCAAATATAAAATTATTTCCTCTTAAGTAAAAAAGGAGATGTTTCTGTAAATGTTTTATCCTAGCTTGATTAAAATGGAAGAGAAAGGTAGATTATATTTGTATATAAAACATTTTAAAATTTTGATTATGAAAGTTTGGATGTAATTACCTTTTAAACATTCTAGAAGGCTATAAATGTGATTTTTCCTGTTAGATTTGAAGTGAAGACTAGTAATGAACTTGTTACTTGAAAGGAGATTTGGTCATATATTTATGGAGCATGAATATTTTGCCTTTCAGGATAAACTGTTTACCAACAATCTCTGCTTTGAAATTTAATGGTGCCTTGACCATGGCAGTTGGAACATCCACAGGGCAGGTAAATATGTTTAATTTGGAAACTTCACATGTAAGTTGCTGTTTAGAGGCATGTATATGTCATGAGAAACATACTGTGAAAACAGAAAATGAGGCATTACAGTTTGGGTCAGAGTGGGGAGGGTACTCCAGACTGCTAGATTCTTCTAGCACCTTGAGAAATCTTGCCTCTTGCCTTAGTGGTTGGTTTGAGATGCTTTGGAGCTGGAGCTACAGTAAGGTGGGCCTCAGGTGTTCTCTTGGTAGTGGCTTGGAACATTTTTATTTGTGTATGGAACAGAATTCTGTCATCAGACAAGTTTGTAATTCTGTCAGACTCCTACCCTTGCAGATTCACAGTGGGTTTCAGTACATATTGAAGAAGGCTCTGAGGAATTTCTGCAGACAAGAAATGTGTTTGGTAGATGTTTTCAAAATTTATGTATTTGAACCTTTTTTTATTTTGAACCTTTTTTTTAACCACATCCCATGCAGTGAGTGGCCAGCATTAGTGATGCTGGCCTAGGAGTACTTCTTTCTTCCCTTTTTTCCTTCAAAGCAGAGTCCACACACTTCTCAGTGTCAAGAGATCTGAGACTCTGCCTCTAGTAGATTGACTACTTCTGTCATCATTTACTACATCTGTCACCTGAGACTGAGATCCCCAGCTCCCTTGCCTCCAGTGACAGGGACAGAAGAAATTCCTCCTTCTCCTGAGATGTCATAGCCTTGCCACCACCTTTTGTCTTGAACCTACCAGGACTATTCCTCATTATGCCTTTCATTCTCATTTCCATCATCTGCTATGACAGGCCTGGTATGTAATAGGCCTAAGTATATATTTGTTCAATTCACAAATGAAACAAATTCTTATGGGGTTTCCTTTTGTTCTTTTGTTAGTATAGCTCAGTAGTTCTCAAACTTAGTGTGCTTAAAAATTACTCTCAGGTTGGATTCATAAAACTTTGTACTTTAAGGGCAATTTAAGAGATTTTTCTAGAGTACTGCTGGCCTACTTTAGTATCTTAGCACCCTGAGTAAGGGTATTCATTGTGTTTGTAAAAAGGTAATGAAGCAAATGGCTGTCATCATTCTAATTTTTAAATGTTTCTATTTATATTGTTTAAACAGAAATAACTTGTTTTTTTTTTTTTCTTTTAGGTTTTATTATATGATCTTCGATCTGATAAGCCATTGCTAGTTAAGGATCACCAGTATGGGCTGCCCATTAAGTCAGTTCATTTCCAGGATTCGTTAGATTTGATTTTGTCTGCAGACTCTCGAATTATCAAAATGTGGAATAAGAACTCAGTACGTATTTTTTGTTGAAATTATTCCCTTCTTTATCTGA